TGAAGGCCATGCAGGTTATCCCAAATCTCAGATGGTTTTGTTCTGTTCCAGATGAGTTCAACCGAGTAATCATTCCAGTGAAGAGAGGGGAGGAGAACACAGACTATGTCAACGCTTCCTTCATTGACGTGAGTCTTCTCCAATCTTCTTCCCATCTTCTCCCAAAGGAAACCACCTCATGCTGCTTCCTTTGGGAAGAATTTATCCCAAACACTCATTTTATGGGTTTTGTACAGCTCCCTCCCTGTGACTTTGCTTTGTGTCACTGGATGGTGCTGGTTTCTTTCTCCAAGAAACCTCCAGGTATATCCAGCTCCTTGTGGGAGAGGAGAGCTGGCGCCTGAGCAGAGCTTCCAAATCCTGGGCTTATTTCTGTCCCTCTGGGCTCTGCTGATGGCTGTGGAGAAGGGATCCATGTATCCATGGAAATAACACAGCACTGGCCATTTGGTCAGAAAACATCCACCAGATGAGCTTAGGGAGCAATACACGATCCCAAAACCTTGGAGAGTGGCCAGGTCAATCCCATTACACCTGTCTGGGTGGTGGCAGGAGGAGAGGCAGGGAGGTTAAGTGCTGTCCTCACTCTGAGGAGGAGATAAGTGATTGCACATCCTTCCCTCCTGAGCAATCCTGTGGACTCCAGGGAGACATCTCAGATGAGTATTGATCTCCATGCAGTGATGCCAGGGCTGGCCAAGGCACAGACCCTGCTCTTTTCCAGCCCAATTTCTGTTTTCCTCTCCTAATGACACAGGGCTCTTTTTTTCCCCAAAAAGGCAATCACTGGGTTTGCCACTAAAACCAGTTTATTCCCAGTTCTAACATCCCTAATTAATTGCTCCCTGAAATCTCCTTTGCTGGGTGCCTGCTGTGGCTGTGGGAGCAGCCAGGAGCAGCTGCCTTGTTGTGCATCCAGATCAGAAAATTTCCATGGCACGTAAGCAATTTGGGCTGAGGATTCAATTTCCTGCCTCTGCTGAACTTTGCTTAAATGACAAACTCCAAATGACGAAGCATCTGCAGTCACAGTCTGCAGGGAGGGCACAGGGGACTCACAGGGGTTTGGAAACAAAAACTCTTTGTGGCTGTGGCAGAGCCAGAGTCATCCAGCCTTCCTGCTGGTTTCACACATCATAGGATGGTCTGGCTTGGAAGGGACCTCAGATATCAGCCAGTGCTGTTTAGTCTTGCTGGCTTCTTCCAAAAATCCCTGTGGCATTTTTGGGATCCCCCGTGGCAGGAAGGAAATGATGAATCTGACTCCGTGTTCTTAGAAGGCTAATTTATTATTTTATGATATTATTTTATATTAAAGAATGCTATACTAAAATTATACTAAAGAATATAGAATAGATAATTACAGAAGGCTTAACAAAATAATAATAAAAACTTGTGACTGGCTTCTCAGAGTCCGACACAGCCTGACCATGATTGGTCATTAAGTCAAAACAATTCACATGTTGGGTAAACAATCTCCTACCACATTCCAAAGCAGCAAAACACAGAAGCAGATGAGATAATATTGTTTTCATTTTTCTCGGAGGCTTCTCAGCTTCCCAGGAGAAGAAATCCTGGCAAAGGGATTTCTCCAGAAAATATGATGGTGACAAATCCCCAGTAAAAGTTGTACTCGGAGCTAAGGCAAAGCTCTGCTCCAGCACTCAGAGCTTGCAATATTGCTTAGGTGTGCTGGAAACCCAAACGGACCAATCTGGGTGTGTGTAGGGGATGTGATCCTCCCAAAATGGAGCTGAGCTTGGTGGGCCAGCCGTGTCCAAGAGGTTCCTGGTGCTGGTGCACTGACCCTGCTCCCACATTCCAGGGCTATCGCCAGAAGGATTCCTACATCGCCAGCCAGGGGCCGCTGCAGCACACGATAGAGGACTTCTGGAGGATGATCTGGGAGTGGAAATCCTGCTCCATAGTGATGCTGACAGAGCTGGAGGAGAGAGGCCAGGTAAGCTCCTGGGTTATCTGCACTGAACAGCAGGGAGATAAATAAATGAATGAACAGCAGGAGTTTGGAATGGGATGATCCTTAGGGTCCTTCCAACCCAAACCAGGCTGTAATTCTGGGAGTTTGTGAGGTCAGTGGGATCCCACTGTTAGCATTGAGCAACACACAGTCACAGAAGGATTAAATGCATAATCACAGAATGATTAAATGCAGGTGCTTTTATTGAGGAGTTCTGGGTGTCAGGGGTACAGACCCAAATCTGACTCCAACATGGGTTCAGGGTGAACACTTTTAAACCCTTATCATTATATAACTACATATTAATTATTAAACTTATATTGTTCTATTGTATGCACTGATCTCATCCAAGCATGGACTCTTGTAATCATCAAACCCCCCAAACATGGTTTCTCATGATTCTTGTTACTGTGGGGGTACCAGTTGTGGGTTTTTCTGAGTCTGGATTGAAGGCACTTGAGACAGTAATTCATGTTCAGACTCAGGTGTTTATTATTTTTTATCAGTAAAACAGTCTCAGTGCTGTGAGTTCTGCAGCTTTTCATTAGAGGGCACAAAATGGCCAACAATCTCTTGGTACAAGGGCTTTTAAGACTAAACTATCCAATTGAAAACTGACACCTGGATTATTTCCCTTTTAACCCAATAACTGATCCCAAAGAGGCCACAGTGGGGACTTTTCTGCCCAATTACAAAATGCCACCCAACCCATGAAGAAGGAAGAAGCAGCATGAAGAAGAAACCCAGGACAGCACCCTGTGCCCTCCATCTTGCTTCCATCCACAACATACTAAAAATCCCAAACCCTAAATTTCTCACCAAGTGAATACACCCACACTACTCTCTGTAATCTATTTCACACTTTTGTGGATTCCAGTCTGTCTTGAAGTCTGGGAAACTTTCTCCATGAATGAGGGTCAAAGTCAGTGCTGCCCTGGGGGTCAGGGCACCCCAGAGCAGACAGAGAAATATTCCCAGTGCCCTGGGTTTCCACAGGTACAATTAAACAGAAATAATATCCAATTACCAAACAATCATCACATTTAACAATCATATCATTTATCATAGTCATTAAATGATTATACCAATGCAGTTTTGCATGATCCAGTAAAGCTCAACACCACCTGGGGTTGGGCACCTGCCAGGAGATTCTTCTATCCAAATCCATGGGAAGAATA